GAATGCTGTATCTACCTTTATGTAGATTTAGTCTCAAACTAGAATTGCTTAATGGTAGATTTACATTTTCTTATGTTTGCATTCTTGGATGTGTTTTTATTGGAATTACTTCCTTTTTATCTATAGATTGAGTAGCTCATGCTTTGATGCTCTGACTTAACTACATTCACTAAAGATAAAAGATTGCAGAGGCCCAGCTGGATTTCCTTGTGAAAGTTTTCTGGTCTTCCACTGTTTCTAATAGGAATAAATTCTTCAATGTCTCACATGAACTTCATTCATCCGAGTGATGCAGATACAACATTAGAGTGTATAGGCTTATTACCCCATTCAACTTTTGTCTTTCATGAAACACTGATGAAAACTTCATTTGATCTAAGATGTTTTAGATGGAATGGTAGCAACCAAAAACTTTAACATTGTATCTTAATCTCCAGACACTACAAAAAATATATAATTAAGAAAATTGTACAAGTTATAAAGGATAATTTTATGAATATTTTAGCTGGTACCAATAACAACAACTATTTCTAGATGAATTAGAAGTGACTTGATTTAGCTGCAGACGATAGCATAAATTTAGCTTTCTAAATCTAAAATATACAGTACAAGGGTGATTAGGTTTCACAACATGTTAAAATTATTTAAATACATAACAATTTTATCAAAATACATCAGCGGGGATAGCTCAGTTGGGAGAGCGTCAGACTGAAGATCTGAAGGTCGCGTGTTCGATCCATGCTCACCGCATATAATTTTCTATTTATTTTCATTTTTTGGGTTGGCCTGCATGGGTGTCCTTCGCCTCATCTGCTACTTTATCCGCCTTGCGGACGTCGGGGCTCTCCACCTCGTTCTCCTTCGAATACTCTCCATCATCATCTGCTACTCTTCATATCCTAATACTCTCCATCATCATCTGCTACTCTTCATATCCTATTTATGTTACCATCCCATTGCAGCTGAGGTTTCACCTACGGTGAATGTGTTCCATAGCCATGTGCCCACCGTCACGTAGGCTTAGATGCTGCTGCATACATTTCTACCGGATGGGTTTGTAGGATCAGCAGCGGCTGTCTGGGATCACGAGGACACCCATTTCAATGTGTGTCCTGCCTCTGTGGGTGCCATGTCGGTAAGTTACCGTGCCGGAAGTATTCTTATGGCGTTGAGTACGCTGCACAGTAAGTGATGCGCGATTCCAAGGCGGCTTGTGGTCTGCCGCTGCTGCCGCCCAGGCTGTGCACTGTACAGAAAGAATAGTTCTTTCCCGTGGAGACAACCTGGTTTGAGATATAGGAAAACTGTTCCTCCATCACCGTACACTACACAAGCATAGATCATCCATCCACTGGTGGCCGTGATTACCGTTTCACGATGTAAACGACACGCAACCACGTTAGGGTATTTATGAATTTGAAAGAGGCTAATAATATATTAAATGCTTTTGATGTTAATTCTGACTATTTTTACTCAGAAAAAGTCCTTTTTTTTTTGGCTTACAGAAGAAAAAGGCGGCGCGGATTGCGCGTGCTACAATTTAGTTCTTCCTAGGGAAAGAAAATCCACCAAAAAAGATGCCTAAATTCCACCACCTTAACACCTACGAGGATTAATTTCACCCGGAAGTGGGATCAGTTGCTTCTGAGACATCAACATCAGATGAGATGTCGGGTATCGGGGCCGTCGATCAAGAAGTTAGCGGCGGCCACCGGCGTCGGTGCGTCGTAGAGAGCGCCGCTGCTGGCGGCCTGGAGGAGCTGCTTCTGCGGTTGCTGGAGCTCCTTCTGGCGGCGGAGCTCGAGGACTTTGCGGTGGGAGTTGGAGTGCTTGGAGACCACGAAGGTGGGGCTGGCCGCGGGGCGGTACTCCGGCACGAGACGGCCGGACTTGTAGCGGACGCCGCAGGCGTTGCACAGTGTCTTGGGGCCCATCGGCCCCGTCCGCCACTGCGGCGTCTTGTCGGTCTGACAGTGGAGGCACTTCCGCCCGTCTGCCGCGGCGGCAGCGGCGGCGGGTGGGTCCTTCTTCCTCGCGGCCTTCTTGCCTGCGGCGGCGCCGGGGGGCACGATGAGCTCCGACTCCGGGGACGAGGAGAGCACGAGCAGTCGGGAGGACCAGCTGCAGGGGGCGCCGCGGGAGCGCTTGCTCCGCGCCTTGCCGGTGACGGGCGCCTCGGCGCGCACGGGGGCCACCTGGTCGGCGCGGCCTGATGCAGCGGCGGCCGTAGTGGAGGAGGCGGTGGAATTGGCGCCGGAGATGAGGTGAAGCTTGTGGAGGTCTTCGCTGGAGAAGGATTCCTCAACAAAATTGGACAGCCACTCGAGCTCCGCAAGCTCTTCGTACTGCTGCATCCAAATACCAATCACAAAAGAATGCAAAGATGAAACCCTTTGTAGTATTGCAGAACTCGGCGGGGGCGTTTCGTTTCCTCTCCTCTTTTCTTCTCAGTTTCAGCGAAGCTCTTAAAAAACTGAACTGGAATTAATAATTCAAAAAAATTCAAACACTAATTCACTTACAGTTTTGTAAGAAATCCAACAAAAGGCATCCGATTTAATATTTTAGACATATTTGGTAACCAAAAGGCAAATATCTTAGAGGACGCATTTGAAAACAGCTGGGAGAGGCGAGATTACCGGTTCGCAGAGGTCGCCGGAGAGGCTGGCATCGGCGAAGCTCCGGCAGACGATGTCGCTGGAGGGATGCGGCTCAGGGCCCGAGGAGGAGTTGCTGCAGCTGTCCACGGCGGTGACGGTGGAGGAGTCCGTTGAGCTGCCGGTGAGTGCCTCCGCCTCCTCCTCCTCCTCCTCCTCGTTGGAGAAGTCGAGCAGGTCCTCGACGACGAACTGGTCCCCTCCTGCTCCTCCTCCGCTGGCCTTCCTCTCCGGCGCGCACTGTGGGTTCCCGGCACGGCAGAACCCGCCGTGGCAGTTCTCCGGTACCTCCATTTCCGGCTTTCTTCGTGCTCAAAGTTAGGGTTTAGAAAGAAGAGAGAGAGAGAGAGAGAGGGATGGAGAATTAGAAGCCAAGAGGAACGGCAAGCCGAGAGAGAGAGAGAGAAGCGAAGCGAGTTATGGTTTATTCGAAGGTGAGGAGGACTGCGGTGGAGTAAATAAAGTTAAAAGGGAGGGGTTAAAGGTAATTATTTATACTGGCGAAGAAAGAGCACATCTTTCTTTACCTGCCGGGAAGCGTTTTACTCCCCAAACAACCCCCTACCATAAACTTAATTTGCATTCACACCCTTCTCCTCGGGCGGCAGCTCTGCTTCCGGACCCCTCTAGGCTTCAGTTTCCGGCAACTCAGTTAACTGACCGTTCTATCCTCCCACATTACAGAAAATAAGGGATAAACAACCGCGTCCGTTTCCAAGTCACGAGGGTACTTTAGGAATTACACTCCAGCGAGCGCGTCAATAATGAAGCGAGGATGCGTATTAACTGCGCCGTTAATCCTAAGGAGAGGAGCAAAATGGTGGGGGGAATGTAGGGATTAAGGATAAAGGTTTTTTGGATGTCAATTCAACTCTCCTAAGGAATCGATCCACGGCGCTTTGTCGCTGCGACTCGTGCATTAGCGGCCAAGTTTACAGCCGGATTCCTCTGCCTCCCTCCTCTTCTAATCTCTCTCTCTCTCTCTCTCTCTCTGTGGCGTTGGGAATCGCGTTCTCCTTCTTCCTCGCTATGTCTTTCTTTCTTTCTTCTTTCTGTTGGTATGACTTTGATTCCCCCGTTTCGCAACCCCACGTTGGAGCACGACGGTTACATCTCGGCTTCGGACCATTCGACGGATGGGATGTCGCCACGCGGACAGCTGCAGTGGTCTCTGCCGGCTTGCCGCCCTTTTTATCACTAATTTTCACATCATGATGCGTGAAAATTGAAGCGCTGAGAAAGAGGAGCGAGGCCACCGTCGGATTCCTTTCTTGACGGAAGCGTGGGAGAAGGGGACCATCGTGGATGAAAGATTTATCCTGCATCGAAAGTCGTGCGATTCTGATTGAGTTCGCAATCGAATCAACGGCGATTGGGCTTATTTCACCCTTTTCTTTTGTATTTTTCTTTCTTTCTTTCTTTCTCGATGCAATGGAAAGAAGTGCGAGTTGGGGTAAGCCACAGCACCAAAGTGAGGGGGGGCGGTAGAGGGGCTTTAGTTTCCAGTTTCTTGCTTGATTTATCTTAAATTCTTGTACAGATAAATCATAAAAAAATGAGAGACAGTTCGTAATCATCTATTTTGAATTTATGTCCATACAAACATATCTAGATGGGGGAAGATCTTATCTCCCTATGCATGTGTTAGATAATAATATTATTATATATCACTTTTTTTCTCGTTAATTTTTTCATAACAAAATATAATGGTATTAATAAAAAATAAATGATATTATAAAAAAAATCTTGTATTTATTTATTTATTATTATTATTATTATTGTTATTGTTTTTGGATGAAAGTCTAAAAGCTTAAGTTATTATGTTTGTATGAGAAAGTCTGAAAGGAGCAAATTTACATGAGCATAAGAAGACTCACCTCCTTGTAAATAAATGATATTATGCTTGCAATATTCGTAATATCATTAATTTGGTAATTCTTTTCATTTATTTGTATTGATCAAAAGGTTCAAAATTAATGAATGGAGGAGATTCAAGAGAGGCAACCAAAAAACAGGGCATTTAAAGTAGTCGGTCACCTACGAACCCAAACTTGAAAAGATTCTTCAATTAATTGCATGGCCCAATTTAAAGGTAGGTTTGTCAGATATCATCTTCCACCAAAATCCCAAACCCATTTATGCTGACAAACACAATCCACCTAATTCTCCACGGAACAACTGAAAAGATCATTGGCATTGCATCACACTAGGATTGGAAATGAATTATTTGTCAATACCTGCAACAAACCACACAAAACTTCCTTCTTAATTCTTCTACCACAGGAATGTCATTTGATGGGCCACAACCATGCATTTTTCCCTATTTGATTTCACAAAAGAATGAAGCTCGGGATCAATTCTTGACTAGCAAAACATTTATGTTACAAAGTGGACTAAAGATTGCATCAAAGATGTAACTTTCGGAGCAAAAATGTTGAGATTGATGCCAATGCTACTTATTGTTGAACTGATTACTTGTAACAAAAAATATTGAATCACTATTAACAGTTCCTCGCAAAAATAATAGAGCGGTATACTCAAGAATGGGTCCTCTAGGAGGCAATTAGTCCTGAATTGGCAGACCCACGTCTAATAATACTGTAGGAACCTTGAAAAAGAATCAATGTGTGCAAAATCTCAGATCGAATTGTTATCTTTTCCAGCGCCAGCACGAGGGTGATGACGCCTCGAACCTGATTTTTTGTCCCTCCCACGCCTCACGGATATCTTCCCAGGCAGCTTCCTCGACGGTGGAGCTCTTGCAAGCCTGTCTGGAGCCGCTGGAATTAATTCTCGAGGTGATTTATTAGACACCACAGGAGGTGGTGGCTGGATCAAGGAGGCAAGTTCTTTCCGTTGTTCCAACAAGTCTCTGTGGTATGCCTGCAAAACAAACAAAAAAAGTGATTATAAGAAACGTATTCAAGTTGACAAAAACCTCTGTAGTCGTATCCTACGGGAAGATGTCAGATATCAGAATAAAATGAAGTGTACAGACTCCACATGACAATGTCAAGGGAAAAAAGGAAGGTCACATACATGACACGTCATGATAGATGCAAACACAGTACGGGCAAGGTTATGTTAACACAACCCATGTTTCTAACTGTTGGATATTTGACAGTAACCCTTGAAATCAGCAAAGCCATGGTCGAGATTGCTGTACCTGAACAACAAAATTGCGTCTTTCACAGTCCATAAACATGTTGATTGTCCAATTCACTTGAGACATTATCTTATCTCTTACAGTGCTGAAGCTGATCTGATCCCTAGAGGTAAAACGATCAACTTCGTTGAACCACAGGCACGTGAACAGATTGGTTATAGGGATGTGCTCTTTGATGATCACACATCCCTCAGGGACATCTGTGATTTACAATAAGAAGCACACTCTTAGAACCAGCTACTGAGAGATGAGTCTATAGCATCTTTCTAAAAAAAGCATAATATAGACCCAGCACTCACCACTTGTAATTGGAATCTTGGACAAAGAATAAGGCGTGAGACCCTCTTTCTTATAAAACTCAATTTGACTATCTATGGATGCATTGTCGTATTTTCCAGCAGCTTTGTTAGCCTCTGCTTCCTCAAAAACATCAAAGCGCCTGTAATGCCTGGAGATTGCAAAAGTGTAGTTCTTCCGCCACAAGAATCTGAAAGCCAGTCAAAGTCATTTTAGTTTATGCATCAGATACTGCAATCCCTATTATGCAGTTAGTTTGATGGAAGACACTTTCAAACATCACACTTCAATTTTAACTATAATCCAACAGATCATTTTCCTCAAAACTCTTCATTAAACACTTCCAATCCAAGTTTCATGCAAGTTATATAACAAACATGAAGTGTAGGATAATGCAGAAAATCAGAGATCACTGCTATAAATAGGAATCATTACGAGTCACATGGATGGAGAAATGATACATCAAGAATGTCAATGTATCACTTTGCCAACAGAACAAAGATATTCTTGGGTAGCATCATTCTCCTACTGCTAGTGCCAAAATAAAAGGAAAGGGAGGAACTTATTTAGTGCTAAAATTCTAGTTTCCATGTACTAAGCCTCAACAATCTTATGAATGCATAGTTACCTAGATTTTAAATTGTAACAAAAGACAACTGCTGTTTCATGTGCAAAAAATTCTTCCAACTAAAGAATCCCAGTTGGCTAATCAGTAGCTGAATTTCTACGTCTAGGCACTGTACTACCGCCTATAAAACAGAAACTTGTCTAAATTTTAAATGATTGATTTTTACAAACCAAAAGAAGATAAAGGATGAGACTCCCAATAATTCAAGATCCAAAGAGGACCAATGTATGCACTATGCACAGAAAATACATTATATTCAACCTTACCATGGAACAAAAGCTCATTCTTCAAATAAATATATGCACCAAAAATATACATTTAACAGTTAAATTACATTTTTTTAGATGTGCAACTGTTCAAGTTACCTAGTTATCTATGAGATGGTTTGGTGTTAATTATGTAAAATGATATTGTCTATACGAGTTACCATTGCCATTATTTAAAACATAACCGTGCAGCATATAGCAATTAACATTAGTTATTTTGTCAAAGAAAAACTCATATAATTTAGTTATATCTATTTATTAAGTTGGGACTCTACAAGATTGATCCCCGCCTACTGGTTCGAGACAACCCACTCACTTCTATTTATGACAAAAACTAGTTATTCTAGTCCGTGGAACCAATGACACCAAGTTACATCATGATCGTAAATCATAAGTGCTAATGTTCTTTAAATATTTAGACTCTCAAGCTAATTTAACTACAATACTCTTCAAAGAGAAAAGTTGAAGATGTAATGGTAGTTGCACTTGATACATTTATATGAATGTATAAAAAACCTAAGTTGCATCTCTGCTTCAAGCGCTCGATACAGGAAGTCCAGAATATGTCCACAGTTACTTTTAGATGGATTAAAACATAATGAATTATGGATCGGAGGGAAGCTCATCAATGAAGTATACCTCTCAAGAACTTGATAAGGATCCACGACCAACTCAAGTTTTCCATCAATCCAAAGAGAAAACCGGGCATTTGGGAAAAGCCTTTGGAGCAGAAGTTTTGGAACCTACCAAAAATAAATAGGAAGAATCCATCTATGAAATGTCCTGAGCATTACAGAAGATAATTAAGATTGTAACTGCTAAAGATCATCGCATTGAGAATCAAAATAGAAATTTAATCAAGTAATTAAAACTAAACAAATTCAATCAGTCAGTTGCTGATAGCAAAATTAATTGGAATATAACAAATCTACATCTAGAAGCTTCATTCTGGGTCATGTCAAATATAGCCAAACTTATTCTTGGAATCATGGAATAGATGACTGTATTTGCATCATGTTATTTCCAGACTCCAAAGATATAAACTCTCAGGAATAGGTGCTGAGGACTCGGAATGGAAAATGGATGATTCTTGTCAAATAAATTAGAAGAAACCCTTTTAGATATTGTCTAACATTATATGTTATTCGATAATATCATGAAATACACACTGCCACTCCAAAGTATGTTCTCTCTCTCTCTCTCTCTCTCTCTCTCTCTCTCTCTCTCTCTCTCTCTGTGATGTACGTGTGTGTCTGTGCCAATTACCTCTCCACACTGATGAAAACTGAAAGTTGCAAGCTCAATTAATATAAAAAGACAGATACCTAGGCTCAATTGATATAAAAAGATCGATACCTAGGATCCTCAAAGTTGCAAGCTCCCTTTATGAATGGTAGCCCATGAGTGGTGTCTAAGTGTGTGATTCAAAAACAGAAAGCCAACTGTAACTGACACTGTTGCCTATAGCCATCATTTCTAACAATGAATTATCTAGAAATATCATGGAACAACTTGTCCAAATAAAGTCTACGCTACAGAGAGCAAGGTTTGATGTACTGCCCAAACTGGTACAAAAAGGGCGGTACTCACCAGGCTGCCAGCTGACCGGTACGTGGATCAGCCTGTTTCAGGCGATGCTAAGAAAAGTGTCAGGTATCGACCGTTATGGGTGATGTATCGGCCGATATGATAAAAAATCATGCTGTATTGGCCAATTTGGTTCAGTTCCAGTCGGAATTTGACTAATACCGAACCAAATGGAGTCAAGTTTCGCCCCAACGGTCAAATTGACCATTGTGGCCTCTTTTGGTGTCTTTCAATCCCCTCTTTTCACTTGCTCTCACTCACTCTTTCTTACACTCTCGCTTGTTGTTAAATAAAAGACAGCTTGGAACTCGAGATCTAATGGAATTTCTCTACAATTTGAAGGTATTTAGCTTCTTTCTAAGTTTTCTTTATCATTTCGTATAATTAGAGGTGTATTAATACATATTTACAAAGACTAAACATGGCTGAGGTCATTGTCTAGTGTTAGTCCCACTTAGGTCTATTGTCTTATATTTAGGCTCAAATTGGGAGTATCTAGGGTTAATTGCAGCCTTATGCATTATTTATGCCTCATATACACTCTATTCTTAATTAAATATAATAAAACAACCATTAAATTAGGATAAAAAGCCTAAGGATTTTTTTTTTCTGAACATTTTTCAGCTTTTTTTCAAAATCTGATTTGTACCAGCATACCAACGTATGGTACATCGGTATCGATCGTTACATACAAGTACGTACCAGTCCACCCATAGATCAATAACACCGGTCGACACGGAGAGCAAAGGAAAGGACATTGCCTTTGAACAAGGTCTTCTTATATAGGTCCATTGGGTCATAAGCCACCATAAAGGACATCCTAGTATTATGACAGTGATCATTTTGTGCAAGTTGTTTGATTTCCTTAAATAGTATTTTAACGTAGGAAAGTTAGAAATATAAATTGGTAGATATGGGTTGGATGTTGGAAAATTAAATTAGAAATCCCTTCAATTAGCATATACAAATTCAAATATTGATACTAAACAAGGAATATTTTATAACCATATTTGTTTAAACAGAAATGAAAACAAAGGGAGTATTAAGCAGGTGCAACTTCAAAATGGATTTAAGATAGATATCAAAATGCTTACTGCATGAATCAGCTACATCAACATCAAATGATTAATGTTTTAATAAAATTTCTAGGATAAAAAGAGTTTAAAGTAAATGTAAAAGGAAAATTAAAAAAAGGAGAATCTGCAGAATCCCTTTCTGAGTGGTAGCCAACTTCTGGTGTCAAGTACGTGTTTTAGTAACTGAGAGCCACCTGTGACTGTCACAGTTGCCTCAGGCCAACACCTCAGCAGATAGTTGTCTAGAAATATAATAGAACAAATAATCCAACTAAAGTCTACAAAACAGAGTGAATAAAGTCTTCTTATACAGGTTGGTTGGGACATTAATCCTTATAAAAGACATCCTAGTAGTTTGACAGTGCTCATTTTGTGTAAATCATTTTATTCCTTCCAATTAGAACTTTAACATAGAAATATTAGAAATGAAAATGGATCGATATGTACTAGTTATGAGGAGGAGAAAGGACTAGTTATATAATTTCATCAATCTGTGGGGTAGAATACATTCAATTCAAGAAAATTCAAATGTTGCTGATTTATTTACTTTTATTTCTCTCAGACTATGTAGCTAAGATATTCTGAACAGTTACAAAGACAGAAAATACTACTGATTTTTTATTGACAAATACAACAAAATTTGGCTGATTTACTTGCTGATGAAAAAAAAATTCTCATATTATCCTCAAATAATAGATGATGTTAACTCAAGTTGAACTGACAATAGAAATGTAAAAGCAAAGATATACCTTCCCATTGCGCCTTGCGTCATCATAAGGAAGGTTTTGAACTACCACCACTCTCCATAGACCAACTCTTTTGGTATCAACTAGGCCACTAGAATTCTTTATGTATGCTTCAGTTTCTTCATCAACAAACATATAAAAGCAGGCATTCCTCTTTGCATATTCACTAATATTCTTTGGTTGTTGCATTATATCATAATTTCCTGACAAATGAAATGAACAGTAATAAAATCCTTAAAATGGACCAGGAGAAGCAAAAGTCAAGGGGTGAACAACACTGACAACAGAGATATGGGAAGCAGCACATTAATACCAAAAATAGCAGAGGCAATGACCACATCATGGCATTCCTCCATCTCAAGAAGATCAGTGTCATTTATGTCAAATCCAGTCCCTTGACCAGGTCTCTTTCCTTTGACGAATCTGATGAAGAATAATAAACATGGATTTAGACAATAACAGCAGTTAGAATATATTGAATCCACCTATTTAAGCATATACACAATGAAAGTGAAAAAGTGTCGATCATAAATATTTTTCAGACTAAAAAATCTATGCATACCCACAGTGCACCATCATTGATTCTTTGATATTGAATGATTCATTCCTATGTAGCAGAGATGGATGTCCCCCAAAGATAGAACCTCCATTTGACTCATTGGCAATCAAGTTATCTTCTGAGTAGTAGCTTAAATCCTTAAGAATGGGCGATGCTGATGGTGAAGGTGGCATGAGTAGCACAGCCTGCTCTACAGGGACATAACAAACTGGACATGCTACAAAAAAAAAGAGAGAGAGAGAGAGAGAGTCGGTGTGAGTGTTAGTTTATGGATGAACCCAATAAATAAATTGTTGCAGTCCAACGAGTCAACAGTTTGAGACTTACGACGTGGACCAGTGCGCTTCTTATCAGCTGGTGGAGGAGGAAGAGTGAAACTTTCACAAGGATGTGGTGTTGGAGGAAGAATGGGAATAGAGAGCTGTGTTTTATTATGAGTATTTGCAGACTCATGGTTTGCATAGGAAGTGCTATTGACCTCAGTTACTTTTGCAGGTGCAAAGAGAGGCTTGAAATTATTAAATGATGGTCTACTAGGGTTTACAAAATTCCGGACATGGTCTGTGAAACCCATGCGAGATTCAGGGCTCACCGATGTGTCTTCATCTGAAATAGCAACCAAAGAAATTATCACATCTCATGATGATAGACAACAGAGCCAGTAAATGCTATGAAAATTAAATAGAACAAGGTTGGAAAGAAGGATGTAAATGAATGACACGTATGAGATTGGCAGGATATCCTTCTGCGGAACAGGCATTTTCTGTGACCTCACTGAATCTCTAGGTAGTCTTGTTACTCTGTGGTAATTTGTTTAAAAATTAACAATTAATGAAATTCTAGCAGTAGAAACCCAATCAAAATTCATAGCTTTTATATACCTTAGACAAACTTAAACATGTCTCCAGAGTTAAGAATTGTCTGGTAATAGTCCAAATAGTCATTTCCTGACATAATCGGTTATAATTGGTACCAACAACAAATTACAAAATTAGATACAATTAATTCAATAACCATGGTAGTGTTCCTAGATGGCTTGCACCAAGCTAATTCTTGCACATATCAATGTGAAAACAGTCAAGTAAGACCGATTGACAAATAATAAGCTTGCAAATCTAAGTCACTAATGGCCTCTAGGAAAAACATGGCAAAAGCAACTGATACTCTGGACCTAAAGAGAAATGGTAGCCGCCATGTGCAGAAGACTAGAACGTTTAGGTAGTCATGCCATTGAAGCTTAGAGATGTTGAGAAGGGTCCTGTGGATCAGCAAATGTTGATCCCATCCAAACTCTGAGATGTGACGATACGACCGTCAAACAATTATTAGACGTAATGCATGACTGAGTTTATAGATGAGAAAGAAAAGAAGAAAGGCCAAACCTTTAGTGACGGCAGAAATGAAAGACAGCACTGCAGCTGAGGCGACGAGCAAGAGCAACATCCCGACCTTCCTCCTCCCAGCAAACTTGAAGATCCTCGGCAAGATCTTCTCCTTGTCTCTTGATCCGGAAAGTGACATTTTCGAAGTCTTGCGGACTGGGAGGGGCGGCGACTGAGTCGGCAAAGCAGCACCGTTCTGCAGCTGTTGCTGCAGCGATCCATAACTCCCCGATCGTAGACCCAATGACCCTCCATTCATTGTCCCTCCCGCCCCACAGGCCGCCGTCTCATCTCCTTTCCCCTTTTGAGAACCCTCTCATCCAACCTATAATGAACCAAACAGCCACCAAAAGAAAGCACCAAGGCCTCTAAATCCCCACTCTTGAAAGAAACAGACCCAAATGAACCGTAAATAAGAAGATCTACATGTTCCAAACATACCTATTCCAATTCTTGAATGATGACCAGCTTAAATCCAGCTTAGAACAATGGCAACCGCCCAAAACCGCGTCTTCCACACAAAAAATCAGAGGGGATCTCTAAAATCTAGAACGAAGATCGATTTTTGTTTGATGTATCAAATTTCTTACAGATCCACGTCCATCGTCATCATCCCGCAGGCACAAACGACTAATGGGAAGCGAAAGCAATTAACGCAGAAGGGATTGGTTTGTAAAGGGTTAACGAGGTTGGATCTTGCCTCTTCTAAGCTGGAATTCCCGGGATGAAGTCGCAGATTTGGGCTTCCGCTGCGGAATCGCCGATCGGGACCCTTGTCTTCGAGCACCAGATTTGTTGCGGGCTGGGAGTGGTTAATAGCGAGCGGGGCGAGAAGGAAGACGAGAGGAAGCGGAGAAAGAAAACTTACAGTAATTAAGCAATTATCTTTACACAAAATTAAGTGAGTAATTATCTCTATGACGTAATTATTGAGAGGATTTCATTCAGATAACTGGGAAATTAATAATACCAGCCAAAATACTTTTCTACTACTTTGTAAAGTACCCTCAATGCGTACCACGTAATTTGAGGTTGGCCTTGCCTCATCGACGTGGGCCCGTACCAGCACCAACTTGCACGGCGGGTAGTTTCTATGGAAAGGAAATCCTTGTTCTTCGACTGGCCGCCTACAGTCTCCCGTTTGCAGTGCCGCCGGTGACTGCCCGCGGGGCTACGAGTTATGCCCGGTTGACGATTTTGGATGCTGTGAGGCACCCCTGACAACTATCGGCCGTTCACATTGCTTGACGATTCGTGCAGCAGTGCATCCAACTTAGCAAGGTAGAAGGAAGCATGTCCGTGCATCCATCTCACAATAAAAGACTTATTGCATTCATCATGAATGCCATAATGGAGGAGATTTTTGTGTATGCTGTACACAGAATGAATACGAATATGCCATGTTAGGTCTTTGTATTCATACAGTAAATACGTTGATCATAATGATTAAGAATGAGTACGTGGATCATACTTTCATTTCCGCACCCGCTCAGATCCCGTAATAAATACGTTCATCTGACTTAAATGGGTCGGATTGCCATAAGCGTGGAAACCTGACCTGCTACAATTGTAGCACACCATCGTTCTCATTTTTAAGTCCATGTGATTGGAGATGAATTATAACTAGCCACGTATTACTTAAATTTTTGAAGAAAAAATAAAGATAACTTCTTGTACTAGAAAGATAATTATATATTTTATTATTATTATTATTATTAAATAATTATAAGCTTCTTTCTTATCATTTAGATAGTTTCTTCGACTATTATTAGTTTGGACTTCGGAGGAATTAGATCGAAAAACTTCTTTCGATCTCGATTTTTATGTAGATGACACATTTGAAGTTCAACATTCTCATATCGGTGACATCTTGGATAGTTATATGTATCTAGATCCAAACTATATCGAGCTAACTAAGACATCAATGATATTTTTTTATAACATTTTAGTACTAAAAGGAGGACTCGATAAGAATATCTACCTAATAACCCTCTTAACGAATGCCCGAAAGAAGAGGCCCTATCTCCTAATGCACAGTACTTTTATTCAAGAGGGCAGCAACCACCCCTTTCACGCGTAGACTCATCTATCTCGATACAAATGTTAACGTAATATTATCATCCTTTTAACAATCTTGGGGTGACCTCGCGTCACATGTTCGTCGTCGTTGAGGCATTCCTAAACCTTATCCAATAGGTGCAAATGCTAATTGATATGGTCCGGACTGTCATTTCGCTCTTGCTTCAACTAACCTAATAAGCAATGCCACTGCCTCAATTGCAGCCAGTAGCTCAATTAACACCGACAACAACACCTATCAGGGTTTCCCACCCCGACACAATGTCAATATCTCAAGAATGCTCAAAGCTTGTCGAGCCACTAATTAAGTAAGCACCTCACTCCCCAACTATAGAATTCAATGGATTGTCATACCATCATCTTGATCCACCCAAATCCAAGACCCAATCAACAAATTCGATAAATAATTATATGAGAATTCAGCTACAATAAATGGACTAATGTTTGAAAGAAATATGATGAGAATTTCAATAATCCAAAGAAGAAGGGTAAACTAACCCCACTTTGGGTCGGTCAGCGTTTACCAACGACATCCAAGAGGAACCAATCCCAACCAACTTTCATCTCTCGTCATTAGAGGCCTTTGATAGTAATACTGATCCGCTAGAGTATATTGCTAATTTCCATATCCAAATGTTATTATATGGCACCTCGGATGCCCTATTGTGTTGCACTTTCCCAACTACGTTAAGAGAATCAGAATGAATACTTAACTCGCAAGTGATCGAGAAGTGGTGCACTCATCAATGAATCACAATCATGCGAGCTTTTCATCAACTTTAAATCCCAAATAAACTTTTAAGTTCATGAAATCTACCTCCCCCAATGAAGGGGAGGTCGGAACTTCCTCTGCCCTTAGGCTATTCAAAGACGAAGCATGGACTTTGACCATATGGTGGTCGAGAGATTAAGAGGAACTTATACAAGAAAGGAGAGACATCCTGATCTAAGAAGACAAAGAAGTAGAACAATAGAAGATCAATTTGTTGTTGAACTAACGTTGGGACTACGAGAGACTTAAAGAGCCAACTCACCTTTTAGAGAATCAGGATGAGACAAAAAATATTTATAAGGAGATTTTGGAGACTTAAATGGAGGAATGAACCTCCCTTAAAATGAATAAGTATTTATATGAAGAAAGTCAATCTCTCTCCTCCTACAAATGAGATAAGTGTCTGGGACACTTGCCAAGAAACACCAACGAATTAAGAACTCGAAAAGTATCAAATAAAATATTTAAAAATACCAATAATGGACTCGAAACATGTCAAACGAAGAATTTGAAATACACCAAATAGAGGACTTAAGAAGTAAAAAAAAAATCTGTTACGATAGAGGCGTAAAGCCAAATGTGCCCCAAACGCATGAGTTGAGAAACCTAACTCATGTAAAGAGAAATCCACTATGATAGAGGTGCAAGGCCAAATGCACCTGAGACGCATGAGTCGAAAAATCTAACCAACGTGAAGAGAAATCTATCATGGCGGAGACACAAGGCTAAATGCACCCAAGACGTGTGGTTAGGAAAAACGACTCACGTGAAGAGAAATCGATCATGACAGAGGTGAAACACGACCCACATGAGGAGAAATCAATCATGACAGAGGCGCAAGGCCAAATATGCTTGAGATGCATGAGTTAGGAAACTCGACATGTGTGAAGAGAAATCAGTCACGACGGATGCATAAGGTCAAATACGCCCGAGACGTGTGAGTCGAGAAACCCAACCCGCATGAAGAAAAATCTGTCATGGTGAAAGCATAAGACCAAATGTATCCGAGACGCATGAGTTGAGAAACATAACCCCATGTGAAGAGAAATTCGTCATGACGAAGACACAAAGCTAAATAAGATCGAGATATGTGAATAAAAAAAACCTAACTTGTATGAAGAAAAATCCACCATGACGGAAGCACAAGACTAAATGCGCTTAAGATAAATTAGCTGAGAAAACCTAACCCACGTGAAAATAAATTTGCTACGACTTAAGTATAATATAAAATGTGCCCGAGACATATAAGATGGAGAAATCCGACCCACATAAAGAAAAATCCACCACATTGGAAGCGACAACCTGAAAGCAAATCTCAAACGCTTCAATGTTAGATGAATTAAAATCGTACTTTAAACCCCTCTCAAAAAAGCCCCAAGTAGAGAGGAAGGGCAAATGATAGAAAGATACATTATTATCTGAGACACCACCCATAGTGGAAAAATAAAACAAAATTTTTTTCTCATCATTTATGATGAGAAAATCAATCACAAGTTTTTTTTTTACAATTTATGATGAGAAATATAATTATAAGCTTCCTTCTCCTTATTTATTGTGAGAAAAATAATTACAAACTTCCTTCTAGAACGTATTTCATGGTTTATTAATTTAGACATCAAAGAGATTAGTTAAATGTTCTTATCTCATATATACATAGTATAGTTTTATACATTAAATTTGAATGATAAGACATTAATGATATTTTTTAAATATATATATACCACCTCTTTTGTGCGAGTACAGCTGAAACCGTCATCTCAGTGTAGGTCCACATGGCCTGATCTCTCCTAGTTACTGGATCATATGAAATTGGCAGAAGGGATTCTATCAACGTATGGTTGATCAGAGTCCCAAGGAGATACATTCTGCTGGTTGAACTCTCCTGCATGTTGCTTTTGTCGTATCTCAATGAGATTGCAAGTGCACATACTTTTCTCCTTTTTTTTTGTTTAATTTCTTGTTTCGTGTACCAGTATTTGTGCTAATCACTGAGATTTATTTTTGAAAAATCGTGCAAATTCTTTGTTTTTAATTAAGTTTATTTACTGAAGACGTTCAAAAGCAAAGGGACGATCATTTTCTTTACAAATATTATCTAAAAACAATTTTAATTTTCTACTCTTACAAAGAGACAATTAAAAAATCGATTTAGGAGTCTGTACCACGTTGCGTTTGGCGTGCCTTGCAAGGGTCGGGTTCGGACGCGAGGAGGTGCTGCTGCGGCTGCGGGTGCGCCCCGGCGACGGTCCCCGCCGCCGCCTGCAGCCTGGCGTCCAGCAACCATGAGGTCGAGTCGTCCCGGCCGTTCGCCGCCTTGTGCTCCTCGGCGTCCATCATACGCGCCACCTGCCTCATCGTCGGGCGCCCCGCCGCGTCCTCCCGCGTGCATGCCAGGCCCAACCCCACCACCATCGCTGCCTCCCTCGCGTCGTACCCCTTCGACGCCCTCGCCTTCCCGTCCACCACCGCCTCCGCCTCTTCTCCGCCGGCCGCCGAGGCCTGCCGTACCCACGCCACTAGCGGAGGGCGCCCCGCCTCCGCCGCTCGCCGCCCACTCACCACTTCCAGCGCCAACACCCCGAATGCGTACACGTCTGTTGCCGCCGTCACCCGCCCGGTGCGCACCACCTCCGGCGCCAGGTACCCCGCTGACCCCACTACCCGCGTGGTCCCCAGCGCCCGCCCTCGCGGGTGGGCCTGCGCCAGGCCGAAGTCTCCCAGCCGCCCGGTCATCGACCCGTCCAACATCACGTTGCTCGCCTTGACATCGCGGTGGATCACCACAGCCTCGCCCCACCCCTCATGCAGGTACAGCACGGCCGCCGACACGTCCCGGAGGATCCTCACCCTCGACTTCCAATCCAACGGTTTCGCGTTCCCGAACATCCGCTGGTCCAGGCTCCCATTCTCCATGTAGTCGTATACCAGGATCATCACGTCGCCGCCTCCCGGTCGTCGGGATCTGCACCAGCCGCGGAGGCTGACCAGGTTCCGATGCTTTAGCCTTCCGAGGGTGCAAACCTCCGCCACGAATTGCTTCGCCTCGTCCTCGTTGGTCTGAGAGAAGAGCTTCACGGCCACCAGGGCGCCACCGAGAAACCCCTTGTAGACGCTGCCGTTGCCGCCGCGGCCGATCAGGTTACGCTTGGAGAAACCCTCTGTGATGGCGACGATCTCTTGATACCCGATCCGATGCGGCCAATACTCCAATTCCCATTCCTCGATCTCCTGTTGACTTACCTCTTCCTCGTTTCCTTGTATTTTCCTCGTCCTGCGAATCAACGCCATCCATACCCCTGCCGCTGCTAAGACGGACATCAGAAGCACCATCGCTGCCACGGAAAGGCTGAAAATTAGGCGTCTTCTCGAATTGGCACTGGATTGGGCCGCCAGTGGGACGAAATTGGGGAGGTCCGAGGTAACTAGGTCGTCACCGGCGGAGAAGTTGGAGTTGCTGAAGCTCCAGGCGAGGACGTGGTGACGCTCCACCAGCTTTCCCGTGGCGGCGCAGAAGCCGACGTACATCTCGTCAAGGAAGACGTCGGAAAGGTCCATCTCGATGGAGATAAGGGGGCGGCGCGGCTTCCGGCCGAGAGCAGCTGGAGCCATGGTGACGTTAAGCCGGCCGCAGTCGTAATCCACCCATGCCTGGTAGTTGGACCCATCATTCAGGGTGAGGCCAACGAATGCAGCGCCGGTGCCATCGTCATCAGGCCAGTATCCGGCAGCGGCTGACGAGACGGAGGTGAGGGAGTTGCGGTCGACCCCGACGTGGTTGTCGTTGATGTCGTGGAACTCCCCGTTCCGGAAGACGTCGAACTCGACGGCTAGGACGCGGGAGGCGGGGTCACCGTTGGCGGAGAAATTGAAGAGGCCGAGGTGCTCGGAGGGGGCGGCACCGAGGGTGCCCGCGGCGGGGGCGAAGAGGAAGGCGAGGCCATGACCAGGTAGGGTTTCGATAATGGGAGCGATGGAGAAAAGGAACGAGGCGGCGAAGGGCAGCACGGTGGAGTTGGAGGACTTGGTTCGGATGGGGACGGGGAGAAGGGCTCGGCCGAGGGAGAAAGACTCGTCGGTCAGGGAGAGGTAATGGCGGTGGCGGCTGCTTGTCTCCTGGAAGGAAGGGGAGGAGGAGGGAAAGGACTCAAGGGTGGCGTTGCCGTAGAGACTGAGGTCCGAGGATTCGAATCCGTTGAAGATAAGGTGGACGGCGGCGGAGGGAAGAGCGTGGAAGGTTAGAACGAGGAGGAGAAGGTGAAGCAGCGGGGGTGTTGGTTTGGCTCGCTTGCTCTCCTTCGACATGAGAGCTGAGAGCGGAGCAACGAGCTCGAAGGCACAGAAAGCAGCACTGCGTCGCGCTCCCGTAACTGTGAACTTATTGCCAGCAAGCGTTGGTGGATTCATTCCACCATGGTGACTTGGAAAGGAAGCAATCCGTACTAGACGCAGACGACGCCTTTTGCGGTCGATGTCGACAAACAAATACTAATCTACTCAGCTTCTTTACGGCCTTACTCATCTCACCCGCTCGCGTGGTGTAAATCGCAGGGACCCACTCGTGATGTGTGCTGAGTTGTGAGCTGCGTCGGTGGGCTCTGTACGTAAATGAGGTACGACTTCCCGACGCGTTCAAGGTCTAATTCTCGTTTTTTCGTCAGGAATCAATACACGTTATGGTAATGGATAAAATGTATCACATGCTCCATCATGATGTGGAAAAGTACGAAGTATTTAATCACCCAAGCTCAATGAGTGAACAGACTGGAATTCATTATAATGGGTCAAATTGAGAGCTAAACCACATGTCATACTAAACTCTCCGGTCTCATCGGGATCAGGTTCTGTTCTAATGCATGCTTATGGGGTCGGGGGTCGGTGGTTACGTGGCATGCTACGTGGTTGACTTCGGCCACAACGTAACCCGTGGCTGAGAAGCATTTCTCCTTCAGCATTAAGCTTTTAAGTCACCGTCGACTATTCCCTCCTCTTCTCGTTCTGATATTGGAGTGACTGCTCTATCGCACAACTCCAAACGAGGACCGACAACGAGACTCTCCTCTTCATGGCCTACAAGTTTTGGATGGACGCGAGGGAGATGGTGGTGGTGGAGCATTGGTCCGAGCCCCACCAACGAGCCTGAGAGCCGTGAACCGTCACTTGTTCTCTCTTTTTTATGAGGGTAATAATGACGATAAGACTTGGGTTGACGTCAGTTGCCCCAGATGACGCCTCGCGCCTCTATTAATCTGACAGCACCTGATCAACACGGATCGGAACATCGATCGAGACACATTAACATCCCGCTCAAGCTTGGTCCTTCACGCCACGCCAACATCGATGTTAAACGTTACCAGGAGTACGATCCTGCTCCCTGTATGATGAGGGTAATAATGGCGATAAGACTCAGGTTGATGTCAGTCGTCCCAGATGACGCCTCGTGCCTCTATTAACCTGATAGCATATGGTCAACACGAACCAAAATGTCGACCGAGGCACATTAACATTCCACTCAGGCTCGGTCCTTCACGCCACGCCAACGTCGATATCAAACGTTACCATGAGTACGATCATGCTCCCTATAAGCGGGTACATCAGGCAACGATAACCTTCACTATAAAAACCCTCGCACTCCGAGGAAAAGGAGAGGAGACAACAAAAAAAACCCCCTGCGACTATTCCCTAACTCGATCGTCAGAGGGATTAGGCCGAGCTCTCCCGACCCGACCTGTGTGCAGGTGCGAAGACGGAGGCCTCCCACTAAACGCCCAGGTGAGGAGCCCCCTCCCGAAGGAAACGACGACTCCTTCGCGATCGGACCACCGCAGTCGGTCTTCTGCAGTCTCATGGGTCATCCCAGAAAGATCCCTCATCATTCGGACCCGAACCAAACCGCGTCGGTCCCGAGGCCATGACTTAAAATTGTTTACACTAATACTTTTCTTGACCACAATCCCTAAATATCCGTGAAGAGGATCACCGTTGCTATTATAAGCTCATGGACGGAGTAAAATTACGTTGTCTTTACAGTCAATCAGCATATAGATAAAACAAGAGAACACGTTTTTGCGTTGTCTTTTACTTCATCTGTTATCACTCCGATAGATCATACTCATCAGATGTAGACAAGTAGAGCCACGAAACACGGAAGGCTCGACCAATATTGGTTCATAATGGGCGGGTCCCGGGAAAGGTTGTCGAGTGCAGCGAACCTTTCCTTGATTGGGTCTCGGCCGAGACAGCCGAGCTTCACTGGGTGGAAGAGGATAAGAGAGGCCAATCCAGGGCTAGCAGACGCGGCTCCCTGATGTGGATCCACGCTGTGTTGGGCCCGACGGACCGGGGTTACCCAATGGCTGATTCCCACATGGAGCATCAAGCTGTCTCCCTCCTCCTCGCGGCGACCCGTTTGTTCGTCCCGAGACTCGTATAAATGTGGTGCCGCAACGCCATTGCAGAGCACCAATCAAGCTTGGCGGAGGAAAAGGAAAGGATCAGTTCAGGAGGAGGACATGGGAATGGAGGCGGAGGACGGCCGGATGAGCTTGTCGGACACGGTTTTCAGCTTCTTGGAGGAAGGAGAAAGGGGAGCCGAGGCATCGTACGGGAGCAGTTGTGGTGGTTACGGTGATGATGGCTTTGACAGTGGCGACGAGGGGACGAGCGAAAGCTCCGCCAAGAATGAGGCCTTTTGGGAGTCGCAGAAGCAGCTTCTTCAGGTAAGCCGCCGTCGTCGATTTGGCGATTCCTTACTCACATTTTGACCTTAAAAACGTGTATATACAAATTTATATGATCAAACGGAGAAGTTTCTTATATAGAATATATGCTGAGATCTTCGTCAAAGAGGTTGCTTTCAAGCTTTTCTGAGATTCGAGGCGGAAATCTAATTAATCCTTCATTTTGCCCCTGATGGATGCAGGAAGCTATGTCTCGCACGAGCTCAACGGAGGCGAAGCTGCTACAGCGGACAAAGTATGCAGTGAACAAGATGCTGCAGGCCGATCCCGTTGATTGCACTTGCTCGAATCGCATGGCGAAGGAATGCCGGAACTGCGCACTGGCATGCATCGCACAACAGCTTCGCGAGCTTGGATACGACAGCGCGCTTTGCAAGTCCAAGTGGAGAAGGTCGGCGGACATCCCTTCAGGTAACGGGGCACATCTGCTTCTCCCACGTAGAGACGATGTCCAGCACCTAAACAGGGACAGGGTCTGATACTGCTTGTTAAAATTCCACAGGGCAACACAGCTACATCGATGTGGTGATGGAAGCAAGGAACAGCAAGAAAGGCACCATTAGGTTGGTGATCGAGCCAAACCTCCGGGCGGAGTTCGAAATGGCGAGAGGCAGCCGGGAGTACAACAGCCTCGTGAGCTGCCTGCCGAAGATCTTCGTGGGCAAGTCGGAGAAGCTGCGTGGCGTCGTCAAGATTATGTGCGCAGCAGCCAAGAAGTGCATGAAGGAGAACAAGATGCACATGGCGCCGTGGAGGAAGCACAAGTACATGCAATCCAAGTGGTTCGGCACGCCGGAGAGAACAGGGCCGGGCGCATCTTCTCCTGCCGTGGTCTCCGACAGGCAGCCCAAGCTCAGGGCTTCCATGTTGACCTTCGATTTGCACTGCACAGAGGTGGAAGTCTCGTGATATGAGATTAGGGATGTTCCTGAGATCGAGCTTTAGTTTTGGCATGCTTGTAACTTAAATCTCTTTGAGCTGTGTATACGAATCAGTAGTATTGGAAGAGGTCAAGATTATCGTGTCGTTGTGACCAACAAAGACCACTCGTCAAGCATGGCACCATCTATGGAGACCAACTAGATTATGATGCTTCAATCGATAAGGGTTGAGACGTCCGTTGTAAATTGCTTCGCTTCCTCTTCACTGGGTTAAGAGAAACCTTCAATGGTGATGATGATCTCTTGGTAACAAATCGATGTTACCAATACTCAGATTTCTAGTCATCAATCATATCCTCACCTACTTCTTTCTTGTTTTGTTTCCTAATTCTCCTATGGTGGATCGCCATCCATATCCCCAAGATCAAGATCACATCGACGATTGCAACCACAAAGAGGTCGATAACAAGGTGCCTTTTGGATTAGGCATCGAATTTGAGCGTTGATAGGATAAAATTGGAAAGATCGATGATGATTAGGCCATTTGTGGTAGAGAAGTTAAGAGTTGCTGAAGCGTGATGACATTTCACTAGTTGTCAATTGAAATGATTATTTTGTCTATCAGTTTGGCGTCAATCCAATGTCTGATGTTATGTATTATATTTTTCTCGGTGTAATCGACAATGTTAGAAAAAATAATTATTTATTTTATTTTTATAATTATAAAAATATATTTTTTAAGTATAAAAATCGTAACACTAGTTGGGTTCAAGCACCAGAGATAATTTCTCCATCGGTAGGTCTCAGTGGGGATACGTATGTATGGATTTGTTGACGCATACATATACGACGGTAAATAGATTTCGAAAAGAGGCGTGGAGTCTCCGTCTCATACAAGACGAGTGCGCAGCAGGTGGGCGGCGGGCATGGCTGCCGCGAGCTTCTCGGCCGTCGCAGTTCCCATCAAGAGCGGCCGCTCTGCTGTGACCATCCTCCGGCGGCTACTTGCATCCGCTCGCCCTCTTCACTTCCTGGCTCAATCCCAATCCCCTCGCAGAGGTCTCGTTCTTCTCTTCCACTCGCCCCCAAATGCAAATTCCACTCTATCTTAGCGTGTATGACGCAAACTGGAACAATTTGCAGGGCTGTGCCAGGTCGCGCATGCCGTGAAGCCGGTGGTCGTGGACTCGACCCTCAAAGGGATTAGCGACAGAAATATAGCCGAGGCCGTAAATAACATTCTTGAAATGGTATTTCTCCTTTCTTTGTGCTTTAATAAGAGTTACCAGACCATGTTCTTGATACTAGGTTCTTATCAGTCAAATTTGGGGGTTTTCTGGTTGATATTAACCATGTCGAATCGAGAAAATTCCCCCCTTGCACCAAATTCCTTTTAAAACCCTAATTTTAGCGCTATTGGGAACTCAATATTCGAAAAGGATCGTCTTTCTTGGACGACTGTATACTAGTGATGTTTCTCATCATCGTATCGGTGGATTGTCTCTGTTGGTGACAAGGCAAGGCGGGCTACGACGAGAAGAGAGGTGCTTCACACAGACTTTCTCACTCCACCTGTTGTTAAGGAGTCAATTTTGGCGCTAGAAAAGCTGGCCGATGTCAAAGCAGTATCTCAGGGTGGTTATCCACAGGTAAGCAACTAAGGATTTGCTTCATTATTCTTAAGACAATACTACGTGATCTGAGAATTTCCTGCTGATCTTGGTAGGCAGAACGTTGCCGCCTGTCTGTTGGACATCCAGATGACATGCCAACTGACCCAGATGTTGTTGCTGCTTTGAGGTATTTTTTGAATTTTATTTATATGAGTGTCTTCATCCTTTATTTAAGTTGGCTGAAGAAAAATGATATCTCCAGCATCACAGGGAACTTCACGTTTGATGCTTGTTCTCATGGTGATTTCCTCGGTGCAATTCTGGGCACAGGGATAGTAAGAGAAAAGGTTGGAGATATCTTGTTGCAGGTACAATGCCAATGGACAATGTGCATTATTATCCCTCTTCTTTTTAAGAGTTAACACATTGGAAACTTCTATTAAGATCTTTTTGATATTATGTCCAGGGAGAAAAGGGATCCCAAGTCATCGTTGTTCCAGAGCTTACTGACTTTCTTATGTCGACATTGGATAAGGTGCAAGGCTCATTCATTGCACTTCAATTTCCTTGCAATGTGTTAAAAACTCAAATCTGTTTGGTGCTTGATATTGTATTATATGTACATATGTGATGGGATCCTAATGCACTGTTATTCCATTGTTACCAACCATCTTTGATGATATCAAACGACTCAGACTTCCAGGAGATTGTAAAGTTATGGTATGATGTAGAGAGTATATATTTTTCATGAATCAAACCTGGATGATTGGGAAATCTTCTAATGTTGTCACATTACAGGAGAATGAACAATCAAGTAGTTTAGACTAGAGTAATGATGTAGAAAAGAGTAGGAAAGTAGAGAGAAAGAGAGGGGAAGAGAAAGAAAGAAAAGTGTGAGATAAGAGAGGAGAGTAAGAGACTAGAGAAGATGCAATTCTTTTTATCAATGTTTGCATTTCTTTCTGAAATCTTTTGTAAAACTAGATGATTCTCTATCATTCTCCTCTAGTGGAAAAGTACTCGACCACATAGAGTGGTCTAATAAGTCTGACGTAAAATCACAAAGTTCCTTCAGAATAATCCAAGTGGCATCGGAAGCTGGGCGATTATGCCACTTGACAAGAAAGTATTAAGTAATGTTAGTAGTAGATGTAACAAGACAGTCATCAAGAATGACCTCTATGTCATCCTTGTGTTCTAAGAGAATTGGTGCTTTTGGAGGATTGTCACCTGCAGAAACATCGATAAATGGAGGATGCTCAAAAGTACCGTGATATGGAGCTAAATCCTCCACATTAAAAGCTGGATTAATATTTAAGTCAGAAGGCAAATCGAGTATATATGCATTAGATTTTAATTTTTGGATGGTGGGGAAAGGACCAATAGCACGGGCATACAACTTTTTGAATGAGGTTTTAGGGAATCTCCCACGGCAATTGTGAACTAAGACATAGTTGCTAACTTGAAACTCTTGACTTTTACGATGTGCATTAGCAGCAAGTTTGTAACTTTCATTACTTAGGACAATTTTACATCGATTCTCAACGTGCACATTATGAATATGTTGAGCGAAGGAGTGTGCTGGTTATGAGGCACGATAGTCAAGTGGAAGGGGTGAAAGGTCAAAGGGGGGTGCGAGGAGTATAGTCAATAATAGTTTGAAATGGGCTTTTTTCGGTGGAGCGGTTGACTAAGTTATTGTATGCAAATTCAGCAATGGGTAAGGTTAAGTCTAAATTTCTGAGCTTCTCCCCAGCTAAACATCTAAGAAGATTTTCCTAGAAATGGTTAATAACCTTAGTTTGACCATTAGTTTGGTGGTGACAAGCTAAAGATAATTTTAATGTTGTGCCAAATAGTTTTCACAGTTTTCCAAAAGTAGCTAATAAATTTCACATCCCTATCCGACACCATGGTTAAGGGTAAGTCATATAATTTAACTTCTTGGAAGAACAATTTAGCAATATGTGAGGTGTCGTTGGTCTTGTTACATGGGATAAAGTGGGTCATTTTTTAAAATCGATTAATAACAATCATAATAAAGTCATGGCCACGAGCTATTTTTAGGAAGTTCAAGGACAAAATCTAAACTCACATCTTGCCATAGTGAATGTGGAATGAGTAATAGGGTGTATAGGTCAGTATTGTGTTTGCAAGTTATGGTAATTTGATAAGTGGGACACTACGACACCACTTGAGCAACATCTCGTTTTAGGGAAGGTAAGTAAAACCTATCCTCGATTAATGCAATAGTTTTATCTCGACCTAACTTTTCACCCCCATAAGAGTGACAGCCCACTAGGTAATTATGAAGGTATGATATTAAAAAATTCACCTAATAAGGATTTAACCTCAGGAGTTAGGTCAAGAATATTGCAAGGGCTAGAAATTTCTCTAGCAATGATGGCCACAAAAAATTGTTGTTTAGGCTCTCTATTTCAAAAGATTTAGGATCCAATAAGTAGAGTCCCTTGGTCGTTGGGATTTATGGAAGGGACTTGAGAGTTCTTATTTTGTCCTTTTCTAACTGTTTTGCTCGCTGTAGGATAATGTTTTTGCCTTTATATCAAAATGTATACGTGTTTTCTCTCCCGTGATTGATAACATCAAGGTCATATAACCAAGGCCGATCTAAAAGAATGTGGACAATGTCCATTGGTAGGACGTCACAGTAAATCTCATCTTGGTAATCACTCATTTTGATTGGTACCAAGCATCTATCGATCACGAGTAGTGTGGTTTTGTCAAATCTAGGCTATTTTAAATAGGATCGGATGTGAGTACCTTAAGGTTTAGTATTTTGATAGTAGATTTTAGAACATTGTTCATAGTGCTACCCTCATCAATAACCAATTTGCAAGTTACTTCCTCGCTTCAGATAGAAGTATAGAAGATACTTGCCCTTATCCATTAATTGGAATCACAAGTAGTGGAGAGAATAATACGGATAACATTAACATGGGCATCTTCAATTTTTAGTTAGTTTTCGTCACCTGAGTAGGCTTCGTGTGCAGCTACTTGGTTTGCTGTCTCAATTTGATCATCTAGTTCTTTTTTTATTATAAGGGCAAACAACGAGAGGTAATGCAACCTCTATTATGGCAATAATGATACTGGATTGAAGATGAACTAGTTTAAGAATTAGTAGTTAAACATGTTGGACGATTCATGGTTAGGCCAGGATTGTTACTAATAGTGGGGATTTTTGGCTTAACAAAGCCACTACTTGGGGTAGTTTGGGAAATAGTTCTATTGTCAAGAGATTGAAAAGATGTTTGACGAATTGGATAAAGATTGATGTACTTCTCAATCTCAAGGGCTTGTCCAGAAGCTTCCTTTATGGTGTCAGGGAACTTTAAAGAGACTTCTTGTTGGATGTCATACCTTTTCTATTTCACACCTAAGTAAAAGTTCCTCAAATCGAGCCAAATATTCTGCCACACTAGAATTCAACTGTTTAAGGTTTAATAATTATTCAACCAGTTGGCTTCAAAAGTAGGTTGGTAAATATTTTTCCTTAAGTTTTTGTTTCACGACTTCCCATTAAGTGATGGGTGGCTCTCGACGGTGTTCGAGACTACATTGGACATGTTACCAATATTTCCTAGCGGACCTTGCCATATTCATTTTTGCAAATTGTATACGTTTAATATCGATCATTCCATACCACTTAAAGTAATCTTCCATGCTATCTAACCAATCAACAAACACATTTGGGTCAAATATACCATCAAAGTTCAACGCATCCACTTTGACTCTTTTAGCCATTTTCCCTAGATTGTTAGTAAACCGAACTCGTTGGCCCATTACTCGGGTTTGTGGATTTCTAATAGGTTTTAAGAATTCATTGTTAAGGCTAAAAGCTTGGTCATCAAGAATTGTTGGAGTATAATTGTGAATAGGTGCCCTATAGGTGGACTTAGGATTTGTTTTAACTGACGCTTGGGGAGTAGGTAAAATTTCTTGATTTGAAGCTATGGATTGTGAAGAATAGACATGTTGTCTAACTGACTCATCAACCTCTTTATTCATGGGTTGTTTTTCAAGGTGTTGGAAAGCTCCTAGGACTTGGGGCATTTGGTTACATAACTAGTTCGATTTTGTGTCATGATCTGCTAGCTTGGTCCTATAGGTGTTTATCTCACTCTGTTGGTTTCGAGATTCATCAGGATTGGTTTGATTTTCACCTCGTCGAGTCATGATTCTAATACTATTAACAAATTATCTTTTGGTAATTAGGTTGTTAATTGTTATAATCCATAAGATAGAAATACAATGTTTTAAATATTTCTCACTTTTTTGTTTTTTTTATTTTGGGACAACTTTCAGTGGTTCAAATTTTATTGGTAATGTAGTTGTAACTAAATGGGAGAGAAAGGGTGATAAATAGAAAAAAAGGAGAAATGACGAGAGAAGCGATGAAAACCACAATTTAATGAAATATACGATTTTTATTTTCGATAAAAAAATATTCGTAAAGTTTTCAAAAATTTACTCGGCATTGAGAGCTATGTGTTCCATCAATTCTGTAGGGATAGTCACCCCAAAGCCCCACTCCACATGCAAGGGGTTGACATTAGAGGTGCAAGGATCCTTGAGTGTTGATCGAGGCCTTTTCATGTTAGTTAGGACATAATGGGGTACAGGGTAGGTTTCTTGACGCGCTCTGATACCAAACTAACATAGAACAGAGTAGGAAAGTAGAGAGAAAAAGAGAGGAAGAGAAAGAAAGAGAAGTGTGAGACAAGAGAAGCAATTTTTTTTCATTCAAATATGAAGTCAACCATTAACAAGCTCCCTATTTATAGGGGTTTAGGAGCCTTAATATAATCAATGAAGACAATGATTCCCAAAAGTAATCTCCTAGGGAATTAGTATGCGTTTTAGAAATAAAAAATATGACTTCTAGAATACCTAAATAGTAAATGAGTGCACTTAATACAAGAATGCATTTAATATAAAATGAGTTCCTAGAAAGACCAAAGGATTTTTTAATTTTCAACACAACTCTTAGAATTTCTAGGCTAACTAATTGATAACTTTTTATTGATTTCTTTGTCCAAATTAAACTTTTCTGAAATCCTTTGTAAAACTAGATGATTCTCCATCAAGTAATTATCAATAACATCAAATTACTTTTTCAGTTAACTTTCTTCATTGTATCATAAGAGCTTGAGTAAGTTATGATAACCATTCTTTTTTTCATTAATATATTGAAGTTTCATGTTTCATGCATCCATTATTAAGCTTGCTTCTTTCTTGTTCAGGATTAGTCCATGACAAACAAATATTGGCACTAAATTATGTTGCTTCTTGTAGGTTGGTAATATTTCTGTGACTTGCAGGCCAATACCATTGCTCGCTTTAGAATATGAGCCACCGAAGTCAGGGATACCTGTCTTAACCTGTCTTATTCTATCATTTTTATATTTCTCACCATGGACTCTGATCTCTTTTCATATCCTAATGCAAAATTTACTGCTTATGCGATCATAGGACTAAAACATTTAGAACTGTTGAATCATCGCTGAGGGTTGATGCACTGGCTAGTGCAGGCTTCAAAATATCTCGCTCAAAACTTGTTGACTTGATCAGGTGCATCTTTTTGAAGTTATAATAGAAGACTCTCCAGAAGCTGTAGACTTTTGCTATATCTATACTTTTTTACTGATTGTCATTATCTGCTGTCCTTTGAAGTCATTTACTCTTGGTATTGGCTGTCATTTTCAGAAATTTGTTCCTATATTTGACTTAATGGTGGAGCATAAGAATTTTCAACTTAAAAAAAGTATTAAGGAATATTTTATCCATACAAAGTTACACCTTCAAAGTTCAGATATTCGTTCCCCTCAGTCATATGCAAAAAATGGTTTTCCCACACACATGCTTCTGCTTTTGCGTTTAACCTTGCTATCTGGTATCAAAAAGCTGATGTCATCCTTGTCTCATTCTTACTTAGGGTGGTACCTCAACCAACATATGGCCTATTTGACTTTATTTTAATGATCTTATGGAAAACCTAGGTTAAGACTTGAGTAGTTTTTATGCAATGGCTTAACCTCTTGTTTGGAAGGTATGCAAAATAAATATGACATAATGCTGGATAATAAAAGGGTGGTTTAGTTGACGAGGCTCTAGGAAAGTCAACATATGCTGTCTTAGCCCTTGCAAACATAGAGGCTGTTTAGGTGACTTATTTGTGCTTAAATTAAACCTTTAAATTGTTATCTCTTAAATCATATCCTTTTTATCTATGATTCTATAATATCATGTCCTTATTGACAATATTATTAACACAAGCTTTTATTTTTAAATCAGCAATGGAGATGTGCGGGTTAACTGGTCACCAGTGATGAAAAATGGAACCACACTCAAGACAGGAGATGTTGTTTCTGTTAGTGGAAAAGGGAGGTTGAAGGTAAATTATAACTTTCTTTTCTTCATCTTTTGAGCTTTTGACAGTCTGAGACATTAATTATCTACTACGTCATCTGTCTGCTAAATTATCAACTTTTTTTAATACAACATTTTGTCATGATCAGTAAATTATAGTTTAGTGAGAATATAGCTTCTTTTCTGAACTTCATTATACCATATGATTTAGCATATGGTGTAATTTTTCTTATTATAATCGTTCTTTATGAACACTGAATCAATTTGGATTTCTGAAGAACTGGAGATACTTTAATAAGACAACAAAAGGCTCTTGATAAACTTCTCTGAAATTTGTACATCATTGAATAATTTGTTGCAGATTGGTGAGATAACAACAACAAGGAAAGGGAAATATGCCATCGAATTGATCTGTTATCTGTAGGCTCTGTGGAACCTGAGCTTATCCACCAGAAGTTCCACTGTTGGTTGAAGACATTCACCGGCACTAGGACCTCAAATAGCAAGATGAATTGGAAAACCATGATTTCTCATTGTCCAAAGATCATGTTCTGACAAATTTGGACAGCATAAACAGCCAAATTATTGGTTTAACTGTTTTTGTCCTTGAGCTTAATGTGTTGATTATATTTGGTAAAGTAATGTGTGGATATTTATCTTTTGATTGAAATGTGAGAAAAAAAATAACTGCTATTATATGAGTTTCTTAATATTGAAGGTTTTAACCTGGTAATTTACTAGGGGGTTTCAGGCCCTTAGCTTAGCTTTTGTTGAAATTGTTTTGGCAGGTCAGGTACTGGACTTGATGTGAAGACTGATCCTTCTTCTATGGTGGGGGGTGGGTTTCTTTAATTGGTTAATGTAGTTCGTGTCATATGATATAGTAGAAAACAAGGCAAATGGAATATCTGCTAATGCATTTTTGTTTCTCTAAATCATAGTATCATCTGCATTCCTTGATTTCAAGCTCACTAATTTCATGAACTGATACAGCGGGTCGATTCAGACCCGGAATGCAGCATCTTGTGGAATTAAGCGTCACATGGGGCTACTCAAGGAAGGTACCACCAATTTTTTCTTTTTGTGTGTACGCTATAAGCTTAACAGCTGGTAACAGGAGGACTTGATTGTCCCTTACAAAGACTGGGTCTCACTGGTGGCCTTCCTTGCAGTTTCAGGTCTTTGGATTTGGTATTTGATTTGAGATTTCAGATGAGAAAGTTGGATTCTTCACATGTGACTTTGTCTTCATCGTTAAAATTGTCATACCATTTGCCTACTTATACAGATTGTTTATGTGCGCTATGAGTACTGCCCAAAGTTAGCACCTTAAATTTAATTGTGATGAGAGAGAGAGAGAGAGAGAGAGAGAGAGAGAGAGAGTGAGAGATATGGGTGATGGAGTCAAGGTCTGTGTTTCATTTGTTTGTTTGTCGTCTTTACCCACTTTTCTTTTACAAGACGGATTTGGTCAACCTGTTAATTTCTACGTCATGACTTTGGAGTGGGGCTCAGTTGACTCGTTCATGCATGACATAAACGCATGCAGTAAATGTGCATCGACCAGTAGGGAACGCTCTGAGTTGTGTGTATTCTAACATCTACAGTAAATATGGCATCGATCGATTGTTATGTAGGATTAACATTTGCGTATTATTTATTGACTCGAATGGCTATCATTTGTGCAGCAGCTGTGAAGACTGTTGATCAGGAGCAAAAGGGTAGGGTGTGTGGGAGAGGATCATTGTCTTCCTCCAGTCTCATGTGCTGTGAGCACAAGTACAGCCCTCAGTCATCACTGTACTCCCTCCCCTGACCATGGAAACCCTGGTCATTCACGGGTTCTCAAGGCAAAGTGTCCTCCCTCCCTCCCCCACCCCACCCCTTGTGTTGTTTCTTGCTCCACCCTGCCCCTTCTTCCTTCCTGAGTTGTGTGGAATGGAGAAGATATCCTCTTGACATTTCTTGGAATCAACTCCTCAACCAGAACCAATGGCCTATTCTTCGATGCTTCAATAATTATTTGGATATGCTTTCGCTTTCACTGTGCAAAAAATTCTTCATTTTGATCGTAGGTTGACAAAAACAAAGAGGAAAAAGAAAAGCAGAAAGGGAAGAGGAAACATAATTTGCAGAGGGATGGATAAAATTTTCTCTCTCTCGCTCTCTCGCTCTCTGTCTCTCGTCTTCTCTCAGGAGCAACAATCGGAAGTATCATCTGAAATATGATTGAAATTTCTACTTCATAACTTTTATTACTCAAGGTTTTGGCTTGCTTTGCTCTCAGACCCTGGTCCGTTTGCATCACAGAGAGATCACAAGAACCGAGGTCATGGAAAGAGCTCAAATTTCTGCACATGAAGCAGACAGATTTCCGCCAACAGTGCCTTCTCCCTCCCACACACACAAAGAAACGACAGCAGCAGCTAAATTAACCAAGGGAAAGAAACCAAGTCCACAATTCATCCTAGTCTTCTGAGTACCAAACGAAGCATCAGGTAGAAGAACCAGCAGCGGCTGAAGCGGATGACATTTTCGGCGAGGTGACGGGAAATAGAGGCAACAGTCGCGGTGGCTGCGCATCTCTTGGCGTGGTCCTCGGTGACGGGTGCAGGTAGAACCCCTTCTCGGCGATGGCCCGGTCCTCGGCTGACATCCCCGCAGCTGGATTCGGGTGCGGTGGTCGGTTGAAGGGGTCGGGGATCAGCGGTGTGACGGGGCTAAGAGCCAGCGAAGGGAAGTCCAACACGCTGGGGGACAAGATCTCTGGCATCTGGTTTCGGGACGGCGAGAACGGCTTGCCGTTGCCCACGGGGGAGCTGGGGTTGGAGCCCAGCAAGGTCGGTATCAGAGGGCCGATCATCTTGAGATTCTTGAGGCTGCCGCGGCGCTCGTAGAGCTTGAAAGCCGGCTTCTTTGGGGCGGTGGCGGACTTGGCGACTGTTGGCGGCGAAAGTGGGTTCTTGGCAGGCGCTGCAGCCGACGCTACGTGCTTCGCGGTAGTCTCGGCGGAGCCGGTCAGCATCTGGACCACTTGCTTGAAGGAGGAGGTATCAGCCTGGATGAAGGTGGTGGGGTACGGATTGGAATCGGTGGATCTTGAGAGGGGTTTCGGAGTTAGAGGTGGTGGCGGAGGAGCTAAACCAGCAGTAGCTGCTGCTGCTGTTGCTCCGTTGTTGTTGCTGATGCAGCTGCCACTGGTGGTGGAGTGGGGGGAGTTGGGATGCGCGGACTGGATTTCTCTGTCTTGGAGATGCAGGTGATGGTTCTCCATTGATAGACTCCTCTACAACAAAGCAGAACCAGCCTTTCAAACAGATTGCATGTGCAGAGTATATGGAAAGAAGAAGCCGGAAATGACGAGAAAAATGACCGGAAGGCTAAAGTCTTCCCCCCTCCCCC